CAGAGTGAGATCCAGTCACAGAGAAACCCTGTTTTGAAAAAACAAAACAAAACAAAAAAGCTGAACAGCCAATGCCTAGGCAGGAGGTATAGGTGGGGCTTCCAGGCAGAGAGGATCTGGAATCGCCAACCAGACACAGGGGAAGCAGCATGGGCAGTGCAGAGATGAGGTAACGAGGTAACACAACAGAACGTGGATTAATATAAATGGGTTAATAGCAGGATAAGCGTAATCTAAGGCCGAACATTCAAAATTAATCATAAGTTTCCAGGACGGAAAATGACTTGTCACAGATACCAGACCCTGTCTCTGTGAAAAGAAAAGAAAAGAAAAGAAAAGAAAAGAAAAGAAAAGAAAAGAAAAGAAAAGAAAAGAAAAGAAAAGAAAAGAAAAGAAAAAGGCGGAACATTCAAAATTAATCATAAGTCTCCAGGACAGAAAATGACTTGTCACAGATACCAGACCCTGTCTCTGTGAAAAGAAAAGAAAAACCAGAAACTGACCGTTACTGTGTCCGAGATGGATAACAGCATTGTAGGGGTTCTGAGCCATGACACTGAGCCGTCCAGCCCTTGCGTTCAGAGCGCTCACAATCTTCCCCACTGACACATCCAGGTAGGTCAGAAACCCTGTCTCTGACTGAGAGAGAAAAGGAGATGTCCAGCTGTCCAGCTGTCCTGTCTTCCCTCTAGGAGTCCTAGAGGAGAACGGTCCTCCCAAGGACCTGCTGCCACAGGGCCCCCTGTCCCACAGCCACTCACAGCGGTGGCCAGGAGGAAGTGGAAGGGGAGGAACTCAAGCCGAGTTACTCGGTCACAGCGGCGGATGCAATGGAGCTCGATACCCTGGTTGTCGTAGATGTAAAGCCAGCGGTTCTGAGCGACAGCGAAGAGAGCCTCTGAATGGAGGAAGCTGGGTAGAAGGGGGAGGAGTTTCATGGGAGCCGGGACCCCAGGGCATCACCCACTGGGACCGGGCTGACCCACTCCCACCGACTGCCAGCAGCGCAAACACTGACTGGATGTCCCGCACGGCTTCCATGACGTTGATCTCACACATGAGCTTCTTTGTCACCCAGTCCAGGGCAGCCACATGACCCCGACGACCTCCTAATGCCAGGTGTCTGTTGGAGGTGAAGCAAAGGCAGTGTTGAGGCGGGAGCGCCCTGACCTGACTGCAGTCGTGCGGTCAGCCCACCCCAGCCCCGACAGACGGAGGAAGCGCTGCTGTAGACAGCAGCAGCCAGACACACAGCGTAGCTGAGGAAGGCACAGCTCCTGTAGCTGAGGAAACACAGCCACATCGAGTTCACGGGTCAGAGCGGCTAGGACGACGGCTCAGTCAGTAAAGAGCCTGCCACGAAAGCGTGACGTCCTGAGCCTGGATCCCTGGCTCACGCGTAATGCCGGCGCCAGGGAGGCCGGGACGGGCAGATCTTGCTGGACATCAGACTAGGCGGTAACAGGCTCCAGGTTCAGTGAGGAACCCTGCTCAAAGGTGGAGACTAAACAGAGGCCTCAGGGGCGAAGAACACTTGCTGCTCTCCTAGAGAACCTGGGTTCGGTTCCCAGCACCCCCACGACAACTCACAACCAAACCACCGGTAACCCCAGTTCCTAGGGATCTGATGCCCTCTTCTGACTTCCATGATAGCAGGCACACATGTGGTGCTCAAACATGTAGGCAAAACACTCATAACCATAAAATAACAAATGAAAATCCAGAAACATTAAGAAGTAAAGTGGAGTCCAACAAGAAGGCTCAGTGGCTGAGAGCACTGTACAAGCCTGGTGACCTGAGTCTGAGCTCCAGAACCCACACAAGGGCGGGCAAGAAAAACGACCCCACTCGGTTGTTCTTTGAGCTGCCCCACACACCCAGTCATGGGCACGCACAAGCAC